TCATGTACTCCAACTGTACTCCATGGACTCCGTGGACTTCGTGGACTCTCGGAGTACAATGAGAGTACAAAGAGTACAACACATTGAACGATAAGCATAGACTAACAATGTATTAAGGATTGCTATGAATCATCCTTATTTCTTTGTGATATTTGTTTTTGTAGTAATCGAGATATAGTTACTTTCTAAAATCATATTTTCTTCATTGTTATTTCAAATTATTCTAATTTGAACACGAGTAGAATATCAAATATACTATAGAACTGTATTTGTGATGCGAAAATAATTTTCTTTTTTCAAATGTACTAACACGAGATGAATCGATTTGAACGAAAATCGCAACCCACGAATCGAGTCTCTCTATTGTAAAATATATAAACAACTAGTAACTCAGTCATTGATTTAATTTATCGTAGGTTTCAATAATTTGTTTCGTATCTTATTCTTTTTAACTAATCGGATCAAACAACATGATGTCCTTTCTTAAACATAACACAATGATATCCTCCTATACTTCATATATCTTTAAATCTGTCAATACGAAGAAAATCAACGCATTAACTTCTAACTGAATTAAAACAAAAGATCCTAGTATTTCTTTTCTTCATTATATCCTATTTTTGAATTACACAAGCCAGACGATCGTTTGACAAGACCGGTTTGTTTTCCGTTAAAATCGAACAAGCAATTTGTTTGTTTATACATTTTTTCTTCCGATTTATTTTCAATTCAAAATAAGATTTTTCTAATTCGGGACGAACTTTATCGAATACTCGCATATCAGAAAATTTGATTCCATCTAAATCATCGCATATTCCATCCGAAAATATGTTTGATGCTTCATATTGTTGATCTTCACTGTCAATATCACTTTCTGAACCTAACATTTCATCTAATTCATTCTTCGAATCTGATGATTCGTCCTCTTCGTTTAAGTCAGAATAATCTTGAATACTTATTATTTTTATTAATGAACCTTTCATGCAGTTGTTGACTACTTTGATATTTGTTATCTTTTTTGTATCAAGACCATTTTTAATTTTGAAATGAGAAAGTAGATCAGCAGCGTCATTATATGCTTGAAAATTTACTTTTGTTATTGTTTCTACATTCAGTAAATAATTTCCTGTAATTACATATTATGAGTGTCTTAATTGCTTTATCTGCTTATAATATTTTGGAAGAAAAAGATTTCCATTTGCTGAGTAAAACTCACTTTCAGTTTTGAACTTTTCTAACATAGAAAGCTTTTGAGCACAATTAAGAAACTCTTGTAAACTAAAATTTACAAACAAATAAAATGTTTCAAACATTGAACGAGCTGAGCGAAATATCCCTTCGTACGTCTGAGTACTGAATAGATAAATATTCATAGCTTCTGGTATTATTTTTTTCCTATTAGCAATAAAGCGAGATATGTAAATTGGTGAGCATTAATTTCTATGCAATAGTATGCGTCGGTGGTATTGAAAAATGGTTTCTTGGTTTTTCTTTTTCTATTAGTTCTAATACCACTTAGTTCGTATAGACTTTTTTCTAAATAGACTTTTGGTATTTAATAGATCCAGATATACCACAATCGGCTAACAAAAACTGAGAACCATGCATGATAAAGTATACACTGTATGAGATAGAAGTCGATTATGTTGCTTTGTACACAGATGTGTAGCATCTTGGGAGCATAGAAACAGATGACTGTCACCAAGAAAATACCAATTCCATTCTTTCTTAATTTTAACATGAAATGCATTTGTGTAACTATTTAATTTAATGTTGGGTAATGCAGCAAAAAAAACGCTAGAATGCACATTGCGCGCATATATTTTGAATCACTATCGGCTGAAAATCCAACAATACGAACATTTTCTAACGAGCTTTGCTCGAATATCTGTATTCATCGACGGATGATATAAATTGCTTCATATGTGTTACTTGTTCCAAATGTAGAAAGTAAAAATGGGTTAGGTGCTATCTGCATATTAGTTATAGGCTGAATCATATGAATATTAATAAAATGTGAAGGATTTTCACTAGAAAACCATTCATGAAGTTTTGTAAAAGAGTCTATTTGGTAGTGTAGATTAGTAGGTATTCCATTACTTAAAGATGGTACTAGGTCAACAAATGAGTTAGTAAGATTGTCATAAGATATTTTCTTCATAACTTCTATACAGTCTTCTGTAGCAACCGCAATATTTGTTTTAAGCGAATTCATGTGTATTGATAGCGAATCAAAACGAAATTCAGCTTCTTTCATTCAATGCTATTTATTTAAAGAAAGCTCTTGAAGAGTAGTTAATACTGGAAGAGCACCTGGTACATTCAGTCGTACGAATTCGAAAACCATATTTCCGGTTAATACATGCAAAATCATTGCAAATCGTAGTACATGTTCATTATAACGATAAGCATAGATATATCACACAAACGGATATAAGAAAATAACACAATATCTTATATGGTGATTTTCCCTATAGAAGCTCTCTCTTTATTGTGTATATTATCTCTTCTTACTATTCTATGATAATTTTCGAAAAATAGAAGTTCACTTGACTTGTTTAATAATTATGAAATTTATTGTAACTTGCAATCTCTGTACTTTAATTGTACTTCGTGTACTCTACTGGACTTCGTGTACTCCATTGTACTCCACGTACTTCATGGACTCCATGGACTCTAGAAGTACCGGAGTACGCCTTTTCCCCNTGACTTAATTATAGTTGTAGGATTAGAATTAAAATGAAATTGAAAGACAAAATAGCGACGTTTAACACGAACCATTATTATATTTAATCTAAAAATAAAACTAATCATCTTTATGCTCTAATCTTTCATATTCTTTTCTAATTTTCTTTATTCGTTCTAATTCTTTTTGAGGATTTATATAATAAGGTCGTTTAATTTGTTTTGTATGAACACCAGTTTCACGATATTATGTTCGTTCATCCAAATATACTTGTGTACATTCTCCACGAAATTTTTCATTATTAAACCTTCACCCAGGGCAAATACGTACGGCGGGAAACAGTCTGATCCGGTGATTTTGCATCGAATTCCGGAAGCAATATTCCGAAACGTTTTCCGGTCTCCGTTTCCAGGGTATTTCCTGCTAACTCCTGGTCCCGGAACCGAAAAGCGGATACGGCTCCCGTTTACAACAGGATTCCGTACTACGTTTCCGATGATTTCCATTTACAGCAGGATTCCGGAGCACGTTTCCAATCGTTTCCTTTTGACGATCAGAAACGAAGGAATATGAAAAGTTTCCGATCTAGATATGTAGGCAGGATCTGGCCGTTTTTAAACCGGGTATGGAGTCCGGATTGCACCCTTTCAACAACCGGATCCGGTGAATAAGAACTATTCGATATTTTCTTCTTCTAATTCAAAAAAATTAATGAACTGCAAGGATAAGTACATATTTCTTATTCAAAGTACGAATCTGTAAAATTTCTGCTTACAGTCGGATTGAAACTGACTTTCCAAAAAGCATCACAGAAACTCGAGTAAAGAAAATTTTTAGCTGGAAATCAGGAGATACATAAATTCAGCTGAATCTAATTGTCGATTCTCTAACATAAAATCTTTACGATATATTGTTAATCAAACTAATTTTCATTGATATGACATACCTAATCTATAAAGAATCACTTTTGGTATAACCCCAATTAAAATTGAATAACCACAAAGGAATGCAAATAGGATGATAAAAAATTCATCCGTAATATTTTCCTATAGGTTATCGGGGTCGCTGATTCCAAATCCATTCTTAGTTTTTCTCTCCAATGCTTCATGGCTGAGAAAATCGGTCGATATATAGTCCAAAAATTCACATGGTAGACTTTTTACTTCAACTCTGATCGCAATTCATCAATGTCAATATTCTGTTCATCTCAAATGGAGTTGAACCAGGTATTCCGTAGCGTAATTTCCAACACTTCAAAGGTAAAGTCATTGAAGGCTGTTTCTACGTTAATACCTCTTATCTCAGATATTCGACGACCCCATTCATTCGTTGTGAAATCGAAATGTCGGAACAAATTACGAACTCAGCAGCTTCGTTTTTAAGTATCTGAAAGTCCCCGTCGCTGGCTTTTATCTAGAAAGATGAATGAAAATCTTTCTGGCTCCTTACTACTTGTTTCTGATTTTTTTTACTTCCCTTTTTTTATGTTGCAATCAGAAGGATTACTAAAGATCTTCCACATTCTATCATATCCATTCAGATATTTTAAAGTCCGATTCATTGCATTTCTTCGAAGAGAATAATCTAAAGTAGGTCATGTGTAATACCCCTCATTTCTGATATTTTGGAGTCTGTCTCCTCCTAATCTTTTAGTTCAGACGTTAGAAGATCGTTTTTAGTCATCACCTTCCATCTGAAGTATGTGAAAGCACCATTGTTTGCACTTTGATTACAAAGATCCTTCGAAAATGCTTCTTCATGGATAGCAAGTATGTCAAGCATTTTGAACACTCATTCGTCGCAACACACTCAAAAAGTACTTTAAATCTCATTTTGAATGAAAAAAAGAATTCAGCAGTCCTCGAAATACCTGAAAAAGACGTATTCGCTAAAAAGCATATTTTAGGATGCTTTACTAAAAAAGTGAATGAAAGCTGCTTTCACATACCTCAAATGGAAGGTAATGAATTAAAAAGACTTTTGAGAGTCTTTCCCGGTTGATTTCAAACAAGAATTCTTCGAAATACCTCAAATAAGCTGCTGTATGAAAAGGATCCTTTTCATAAAAGTGAATGAACGCTGCTGTCACATATCTCAAATGGAAGGTACTCGATTAAAAAGACCTTTATGAGTCTTTCTCGGATGATTTCAAACCAGAAGTGTTCGAAATACCTGAAATTTTCCGTCGTGAGCCCGGGATCTCTCAGTGTGTGCTATGGTTTAGTGGATGATTTTGAAGCAGTGTGTGAGGTTATTGGGGATTGGTGAAGCTGGCTGTTATTTTAGTTAATTGGTGGTGGGACTATGATTGATGGTTATTTGTGGGGTGTCAGGAAATATGCGCGCGATCTCAGGAAGATTAGAACTTCCGGGTTTTTCCCAGGTGGAACCGGTCGGATTTCTTCAGTTCCTTCGCGTATTCCGATGGTATTCCGTGTGATCACGGGTCGGTTCCGGCAATTTTTCCTAACGGTTACGGTGGCGGGAATAGTGCGGAATGCTCCAGTTACAATACGGTGATTTCCAAACGGAATACTGCTTCCACCTTCCGAATAGTTTTCCGGCCCGTTTCCGGTTGGAATGTCGTTGGAAATCAACGGAAGTATCGGGAAATAACGCCGTTTCCCGCCGTTTCCGGTCGGTTCCGGAGTCCGGAATCATCGACCTGGGCAATTAAGAATTTTTAAAAAAATTAAAAAAATACTCAATCTATTTTAATTACCATTTAACAAGACACTCATTGATAGCTTTAACTTCTTTGCGACATTTAACGACTGCCAAGAAAACATGTTGTTCACCATATTGACCAAAGTCTAGTTCAATATTAAATTTATAGAAATAAGTTCTGTTTATTTAATTATTTGATATATCTCACCATCAACCGAATCATGAAATTCGTAATGCTGTGATAAATATTGATGATGATCGATCATACCAAATATGAGAATGAAAAAAAAACAGGGACTCGTTGCATGAAAATTTGAGAAAATAAGAAACATACTATAGCTTTCAAACGCAATCCTGGTTCACGTTCGTCATCATTTGGATATGGCACAGTTGACATGAGAATTCAGTTGAGATTGGAATGCGCGAAAAAAATAATTAATCGAAAAAATATATTTTTCTTTTTTTTCCTGCTCGTGATAATAGATTATAGAAAAACAGAAAGAGAAGAAATGTTTCTCAGATAAATTCAATGTTCTCCTAGTTTAAAAAAGAATAGAGAGAGTTGAATTATATAAAAATTCATTGTAAAAAGATGCATGGAATAATTATCAATATAAAAATTTCTAAAGTCAGATCTGAACAAAAATTCTATTAAAAAGATTAAGAAAAAGACTATTCCAAACTCGCCTGCCACAGATATTTGCAGGAGTCTTTTTATGTAAATAAATCTATTGGAGCAAAGTCCATATGAATGAAAGGCTATGATTGAAAAAGTCTTCAATTGGATATTTTCTTGTTTTTATATTCCAAAATACTGCAACAACAAAACTTGAAATGTTCAACATTTCTCTAGATTTCGCCTTGGTTCATATTGGGTTTTAAAAAAAAAACATATGCGCATTTCTACTGAGTTGTTAAAGACTATTACCTTGGTCTATTAAAATAGCTGCTTTTTTAGATATTTTTATTTGCAACAACTTCAGTGTATGTACAATGTCCACTGTTAATAATATGAATTCATTCACTGTTTATTTTTCTAACAAGATAGCCTTTGAGAGTGGCAGATGAATCTCCAGAACATGACTATATAGCTGGTTCAATAGTTACTTTCCGAGATAGGAAAGATTTGTCTGGTCATATACTTGTCATAAGTGGAAATATTACATAATTTAAATAATATTTGTACCATAGCGTTTACATTTATTATTTGGAACTCACTTGTTAATGGTTTAAATAAAGTAATAATCAATTAGATGCGCAACATATGATGATTAGGTTCGCATAATTACAAAAAAAAACTGTTTGTTAGTCATTAAAATGTAAATAATATGCCAGCTTTCTACATTCACGATGATACGCATCATTATAGCTCTGCTAGCAGCTCATCCACGAAATAGAATTTTATATTTCTCAACTCTATTACATCACTGACGTGAGTTGATCAAAGTTTTCAGTTTAATCGACTTCGACTCAAATTTCTAAGCTATCATCATTAGTTCCTTCATTATGTATTTCGGCAGCTTTTCTTGAAATGCCTGGATAGATGTTTATAAAAATTTTAAAATGAAATTATCATTTTAGATTCGATCTGTTAAGGAATCTTCGTGAGCCCTCTGGTATGTACAAAAGCTGAGAAATAGGAATTCCCAAGTTGAAAAGGAACTTTCAGAGGGACTACGATGATTCTTCGCGGAAAAGGCAATTAAAAACTCATTTCATTACAGTTTCACCATTCATTAATGCTAAATTTCAGACTTATTCTGTGATGGCTTTCATAAACGCACAGACTTGTTCACAAATTCCTTGATGAATATGAATGAAGGAGAAAAAAACTATATTAAATTTGTACCTTTAAAAATTTTAGCATTATATAATGTAGAAACTCTAAAAAACTGATGCGAAGTTCTATTTACTCGACTCTCGAACACTTTCGATAATGTTTAAGATAATTTATAGTCGATTAAACTAATCCATATTCTCTGGTTGAATTCGTTATTGGGCGAAACATTCATTCAAAACTACTACCCATTTCACACCATTTAAAACAGCTTCAATTTTGATTGTTTCAGCTATTTTATCTTCTTTCGATTTCTTTTCGTCTCTTGTTCTTCGTACACAAGTGTGTTAGATACATGGATGCACGTGTGTGTCAGTATTTTCATCGAGAGAAGAAAAATGCACAATAAATAGTCTAAGATGAATGTTACATAAAGAAAAAATCAAACCGTCGATATTCGTATCTACTACATTTTCTAAACATAGTAAGATATATTCTACATTGTAGTTGAAAGTGCGTAGCTTTGTTTGTAGCTCAAGCTTTTAATGATGTATTACGATATTTTATTTTTATTTTTAAATTAGTAACAATGATACATCGTTGCGTTGAATCCTTTGTCGTTAAATTAATTGCTGATCAAGATGATATAAATTTATTATTTAATCAATTCGGTCAGTTGAACTACCACAAGGCTATTCAAGATAATTGTCTTTTGACTTTATTTCTATTTAGTCGATGTAAGCAGCCATGGAAGTTTAATTAAATGCCTTGCTTCAAATGATCTTGAGTGCGATGAAAAATTCGAGAACTCGATATCAAAGAATAACTTAATTTGGATCTTTAATCATTTATATGAACGGCATCGATCAATATATGACTACATAACTGCTGACATCCGCAGTTGGTGTAATGAACAAAATGCAAGTAGCTTTGTTTATTCATTAATTTTCTTTACGATCAAATCAGATGATATCACCTCTATTAGGAGGAGCAGCTGTCAGTCTCCTCTTGTAACATATTCTCGAACTTGGTCAGTTTGTAGAGAGTGCATTCGATGCTATACCTATTCGGTGAAAATAATTAGTAAGATATTAACTTGAGTCATTAGTTGCTTAAGTGTAAAATTAATTCATCATTTTAAGTTGAGACATTTGTTTAAAATGTCTTGTTTCATATGGTTGTTAGATTTAGTTTATTATGTTATCGTATTTTATCCAATTATTTGTAAAACTAATTCCATGCAATAGCATATTATAGATAACTTTTTAGAACTCTTCAAAATTATACGTATGATCCATCTGTAGTTGATTGTCTATCATTAAATATTAATGAAGACGATGATGAAGAACAAATTCAAAATGCAGCTACATTAGCTGCAGAACAAGATAANTAAAATAGTAAATTTTTCTGAAATCAGAACGAATCGAAATGATCAGGTAATACATCTTTTGATTGAACTAATCAAGCTCTATGGATTACTATATGCTCATTTCGTTTGAAAACTTTCATTTTGGATGCAATTCAGTATCATAAATAGAGTGCCACACAATCGATAAATTTATGCTTCGTGATTTTAACCATTGCATTTCTATGTGTCAGCAAAACGCTAATTACAATCTGAATCGCAATCAAAACCTGGTTGAAATAATAATTTTTACTCAAAGGATTTCGTAACAATCACATTTGTACTTTCCTAGAGACTGTTTGAAAATAATTTTGTGTATGGTTCTTTCTTTATGTAATTTATGGAAAATCTATAGATAATTAGTATAATCGACTCAGGTTTTAATGTTGTTTTCTATTATGATCACCATTTCGACCAAGAATAGAAATATAATGGTTAAAATCCATAGATATGAGTCGACTGTATAGCATGCTGTCTTTGGAATCAGAATTTTGCCAAAAAGGAACATTTCAAAAGAAATGAGCTAGATATTAAAAGAACTTGAACCGTTGTATTGAATGATATATTGTATGACTTTTCTTTTTATCTTTCGGGTCGCATTAAAGATACAATATAATATGAATGGAGTCTCAAAACTTTATTCAAGGGCAAGAAAGGTGCATACTTCTCTAATTGTTCACGAAACTTAAATAACATTTAAAAAGTTTGATCTTGCTTTCTCTACAACTTCTTCTACCTAAGTTTATTGAAATATTTAACTCGATAAACATTAAAACCGATATGACGCTGTACATGACAAATTCTAGCTGATTAAACATGTTCACGGCTTATTTTGTTCGAAAATTCGAAGAGGTTTCTCGATGGACTTTTAAAACACCTGATACATTTATTCTATATTATTCACTTTCTGTAGGCTAAATATAAACCGATATTATCAATATCAACAATCAATCTTCAAACAGCTGAAGATGTCGAAACACTTTTTGAAACGATGTATTCGACAACAAAAAAGCCAACGTTAACACTGACACGAGTAAGTTGACATTCTTTTCACTTAGTTTGAAACTGATGGATCACGCTAGATAAAAAGACGGAAACGAGAAAAGAATAGGAAAAGCTTAGCAACATGTGTTAGAAAGAAATTCGAGTCAGCCAATCGAAATGAAAGTTAGAATTGTGTCTGTTCTGTGCAACAAGAGAAAGAAAGAAAAAAATTTCGGTTGATAACGCTTGAGTACAATGCTCGTCGGCCATGGCGGATAGAATTTATTTTATCGATTTATTCGTGTATTGTCTTCATCGCCTGTGCTATTAGAAATTGATTGAAACTTCTAATTTGCCTCATTAATAAATAAGCAAAATAATGGCTCAAGATGTTCCACCATCATCACTTTCTGTAAGTAGTTCTCGAGAGTTTGTTAAATATTCTAATTCTTGCATGATTGTCATCGACACGAAAGGATTCAGATATATTTATCAAAATAAGTCTATTTAACATCGGTATCCTCTCACATAGATATAGTTTCTAAATTTGATTTCAATCAGACAAAACAACGTAAAAAATGAGGAGAAAAAATAGTATTATCAATTTACGTTAGGAAGATGCAACATTTTATCTGTAAGGATATATTCAAAGTGATATACTAATCATCATTTATATAGGGGAGCAATAGAATAATTTACGCTAATAATAGTTAATGGAAAGAAGATATGCAATAGGAAAACGATATGACAACATCTATGACAATACAGTGAATTAGTTTGCTGAAATATGAAGATTTTCCTAATTTGATACTAATTTTGTTGGTTCTTTTCATAATTCAACTGTTTGGATAATTTTTTCTCATGAATAAAGGAAAAAATTTCGCAATCAGCACGATGTAATAAAAAATTAAAAAACAAATTCTAAGAACTGCATTAGACTGAAGAAACTTAGAAATTGCTTTAAAAGCTCTATAATAATCTGCATTGGTTTAAACAGAAAATCAGACGTAACACATTTTCTTCCATGACATTATAGAGATTCTCCAATAACGAGCACATCAGGCTACATATGAAACTTTATTGAAAATATCTTTCTAATATTATGTTTCGATGAAAAAAGCCAAATAAGAAATTCTTTTCATTCTTCAAGTAACTTGTACTCTCGTTGTTGAGCTCGTGTAATGATAAGTAAAATAGAAAAGCTTCTGTCATCGTTTGTAACGCTCACAGCATTGATTATCTTATAGATTCAGTTCATATTTTTGCCTATTGATTGTAAATATGGTGGGTACACGTGAATAAATAACCACAATTTACAACGTGATATTACTATGGAGAAACTGATTTAATTAGAATGCGACGAACCAGTATCTTGCTGGTGATTAGTGTCTTGGTCTTTATTTTTAATATAATCTAGAGCGAACCGAAATTTCAACTTTTGAAACTTTGACATTGAAGTTATTTTATTCAATCCTTTATTCGTTGTAGGATCAAAAAAAATCAAAAGGATTGGACTATCATCAATTATTTGGCGAATTAACACAAAAGGTACATGCTGCTATAAAGAACTTCACCGAGGACAAACTAAGTAATGAACAATTAAAGTTGAACATAAAATCTTCACATATGGAATTCTTGAAAAAGATAGAAGATATGTAACGTTCGTTTTTTTTCTGCGCTTTTCTCTTTCTGTGCGTTTCTTTTTCTGTTGTTGCTCAAAAAAATATTCATATTCAAAAAGAAATATACTCATGAGTAATTTCAGCAGGTTCTTTTTATTTGTTCACCAACATAGAAATATAGCAATGATAAAACTAGAAATGTCTCAGCGGCCAGTAATCTCCCAGTCAGATTATTTTGAGGTTGCAATAATTGTGGCCATCTTGGGCAGAAACAAGCGAGTAATAACTGTTTCACAATTATTTTGTAGATAACAAGTATTTTACTAGCTAACATTCGTCTAATCGCTGTTACTCTCCTACATCACTGTATTTCAGCAACATATATCAATGAATTGTTGTTACATTTGTCAGAAATCATTAGATTATTTGTTTCTTTGCTTTGTTTAAGAAAAATTATTTTCAAATGTAAATCTTTCAAGT